AGCGGCTCCAGCGGCGGGCTGCACGGGTGCCTGTGCCCCGCATCTGCGCCCGGATTCTCTGGCCGCGTAGGGGCGCGGGAAGGGACGAAACTGAGGGCCAGGGTCTGGGGAGAAAAACCCGCGTGAAGGGACAAAGTGCTGTGCACCGCGCGCGAATCATGGTCCTAAAGAATAAATAATTGCACCCACATCTCTCCTGGCCCCGCCGTGGAGGCGAATCTATAGCGATGGTCTCCCTGGTTCCTAACCGACAGCGGTGCGCGCGGGAGGCCGGGCGCCAGGGTGTCGCGGGCGCCGGATCCGCGAGCGCCAGGCGCTGGGCGAAGCAGCCGGTGGCGTTTGTCCCTCCCCGGCCCCGTGGCCGGGTCTGTGCCTGTCAGCACGGTGCCCGCTGTGGCTCCCAACCAGCTCCGCGCGGCGGTCGTGTGTTTCCGACCCTTGGTCGGGACACCCCGGCAGGGTCCCCACTCCTGAGGCCCAAGGATGGGGCCCGGCGCGGCCGGTTTGTGTTGTTTTTTTTGCCAAACACTAGGGATGGGGTTGAAGCGCACACTTGATGGAGCAAGCTCAGCGGGCTCCCTCCTTCTACCTCTAAAGCAGTGATATAACTAAAGAGGCCACTTCCCCCAAATTGGCGCCTGGCTGGGGCCCCCCCACTCCTATTCTCCCCGCGTTTTCCTTTATGGTGAGTTTCATTGTGCCTGGCGTTTGCAGTGACAGGGTTCAGCTGAATGCGAGTTGATTTCTCTCTGTAGGAAACAATAATCCGGTTAATTGAGCCACTGGGGAGTGAGACATTTCAACCGGAAAGGCCGAGGTTTGCGGCCGGGAGGGTGCGGGGACCGTGCGCACTGGGGCGGGCTCGCAGGGAGAGCGCCTCTGGGGACCAAACGCCCCATCCAGGCCCCACCTGGCCCTCCCTGGCCTCCCGGGCGCGGGCACTTAGGGGCCTGGCCGCCTCAGCGGGGCTGTTGGGATGGGGGAGCCGGTTTCTGTCTATGCTGTCAGGTAAAGTTTAATCAAGTGCAAGGAAACAGTTATCCGAACCCCAAACATGATAGTGTGGAAACCTTACTTTTTGACCTAATTGCCCGACTATTTGTGAAAATCCCCACTCTGGGGGCTTAGGTCTGAAGTGGGGGTGGGAGGGTTGAGTTGCGATGTCAGGAAGATCGAGGCCTTTCTGTAATCCCTCCCTGGCACAAGCTGGAGCCTTCGGATGTGCCCTCCATGTGGCTCCAGGACGGGCTCACCTTGCAGGGCCTCAGATCCCGGCCTGGAGGCCACACTTGACCGCCCCAGAGAGTTTGAGACCCCCCCCC